TTTTCAGTACTACGATCCTCCATTGGTGTATTATTGGTGCAATGCTGCTCTCTGGACAGTGTGACTATCTGGCTTTTTATTTGATGGTGTAATCTGGATTTGTCATCTCGTTGTTGCTCATTTTCCTTGCAATTTGGTATCGGAGCTGGTTCATATTGCGCTTCATTGGTTCTTCGCAATAGCTATTGGTGCTTCGCATGAGGTGTGGGGCAGTGATAGGGCACTGGCGTTGAACATTTGGCGGCCCAGGGTAGAGTGGGCGCGCCGGGGAGCTATGTGGTGACATATGGGGTGTATGCTGGATGATGAGAACTCGCTGATGTGACATATTAAGTTGAGGTGGAACCGCATTCTGCTGTTGGTTGTGCCAAGGCAAAGACCGATCATCATAATTGCACATTAGGTTGCCGTTGAGAAATTTGTGGTTGGGGGCAGCATTTATGAGGTACGTTGCTCTCTTCCTTATCTACCCTCTTCGTTACTCAGGCTTCTTTCCGTGAGGAAGTGAGTTCTGTCTTGAGAGTCCTCTCGATGTGAGGTGTCGCGAGCGCTCAACCTTGAGAGTCGACATTCTTCCTGGGCAGCAAGCTGGTGGGAGACGGGCAAAGCCTCTGAAGGGCCCTGGACGAAGCACTCGGGTCATGGTCACCATGCCAACCCGTTGGGACTAGTACATGCATGCTTTGCCGCAAGTCCTTGGTTCTGCTGCTTGTGCAATAGAGGTCATGCAGGGCATGCCAGCCTTTTTACAGACGCTTACCAGACCGTACATTCCTGGCTGGGGACTCGGAATTGAATCTGGCTGTGATCGTCGTCCTGTCTGCGACGTTAAATAATTCCTGAGGAGATGGGGGCTCTCCTTAAATCCCTCCTGATCAGCCAGATCAACCGGGTGTAAGGCTCGTTGCATGCGAGGGTAAATAAAAGTGCAGGGGATGGCAGGTTCGGCGTTGACTTGGGGCACAGGGGTGGGCCGGATTGCACACCTTCAGACACGCTGCCCAACCAGATGCTCGGGACGTTGACACAAAGTGACCACTCAAGAAGGATACAGGGGGAGGGTGGATTCCGGTAACTGTTCGCAGTGGCAATCAACCGACAATCTGCCATCAAGCATACATCTCCAACAGGAGATGTTATTCTTATTCTTGATTATCTAGTTGTTACAAATTTGACTAACAACTGACAAACAGCTACGGACAAATTAGATCTTTGTTGTATTGCAATTTGTTCCAGGGTAATCAAAAATAGATTTAATATATCCTGTAGGACCTGACATTAGTTGTTACTATATCATCTACTGTTTCTGTTCCATCCGACCGAAATTAGTTGTAATTCATAATCGGTTGTGTGTCAGACTAAGGTAGGATCCAGTGTGGATTCTAGTTTAGATCACACACACTGTAGCTCATGAGTGATGCAAGCACTAGTGAGGAGTTGCTAGTGGACGACCGTAGGACTACTCGCGGGACTGCCCGTAGTCGACCCTTGACATTCTTGGAGTTAGGTCCAAGAGACGAGAGAAGATTGCGGAGAGAGGCTAGAGAGAGAGCAGCGGCAAGAAGAGCGAGGCCAGCTGAGGATAGTGCGAGGACTAGAATTTCAGCTAGCACCGGTGCAGCCATGGCTGCTTCATCTACTATGTCGCAAACCTCTTCACAGTCCACTTCGTCAGGAGTCAGTCAGAGTGGTTCTCAGGGGTCCATTAGTCAGATTGCTAGCTTGCGAGTCACCCAGCAGACTCAACTCACGGCGGAGGATTTAGAAATCCGTCAAGCAGAAGAACTTCAAGATGAGCTACAGCGCCAGCTGGACGAAGCAGCAGAGAGGAGAAGAAAAGCCATACTTAGGAAGAGCCATACTTAGGAAGGCTAGACTAGGGAGTAGAATGCAGGAGCTAGGCAGGCTGGAAGGACTAGATGAGGCGGCATTAGATCCTGCTGGTCGTATACTGCGTAGTGCCTTACTTTCAGTGGCTGAAGCGCAGAACGTCCTACAGGAATTGCTGGCCGAAGTGGTGGCAGGCCAGAAACAAAGCCTGGTTGAACTTCGGGCTCATCGCACAGCAGTGAGGCAGCCGCAGTTTGTTGTAGTTCCCCCTGCGGGTGCGGGTCCTTCATCGATGCCGCTACACAGGGACAACGTTCTCTCCTATGTTTGGCATGCCCCCTCCAGGTGGTTTAGTAGCAAATAGTGGTCCGGTTCATACAGTCTCAGCCGTACCATGTACAACAGTGGTCACTACAGTCCCACTGTCAAGCCAGGCCCAGGTTAGTGTGCAACAGCTTGTTTCAGTGGCTATGCAGCCGCTGCAGCAAGCCCCTGGGCCCATGCAGCCTATGCAGTGGATGCCCAAGATCCCTCTACTGAGTCCTAAACCTTTTTCTGGAGACAGGAAGAAGGATGAGGATCTGGATACCTGGGTAAGGACTGTGCCTACATATGTGAGGCATAAGCTTACAAGGCCAGAGCAGAAAGTTGTAGTTGTTGCGTCCTTTTTAGAAGGATCAGCAGCACGTTGGTTGAATGGGTTCGTGCAGCAGCAGGGCTATGGTCAAAATTTCGATGCATGGGCACAGGCCCAGACATTGGAACAGTTCGTACAGACTGTGTACAAGAGATGGCATGACCCTCAAGGGGCTCAGAAGGCCACCGGCGCGATCAACAATCTGTGTGCCAAGAAGTACAAGAATGTTCGCGAAGTCACAGACACTGTAGAACGTCTGATCGTAGTACCTGGTGTGCGCTTTGACGCTCAAGTACTCCTTACGGATTATTTGAGATGTCTTCCATCAGAAGTCAGGACGAAACTGGTGGATGAAGCCTACAGAGACCAACACAGCTTTGCTACTTTCAGCAGGAAGGCCTTAGACATAGAGGCAAAGCTGGGATCCGCACATCAGGTATCACATTATGGTAGGAAGAGACTCCCCCAGGACTGGAAGAAGAAGGGTCAGTTGATGTTCGTTGACCATGATGGTCAAACGACGGAGATTGACGATTTTCTAGATCTTGGGGAGGTGACAGAGCAGGATGGGGCCAGCGAGACTTCGGATGGGGGAGTCGTGGCACCTATCAAGGAAAAGGCTAGGGGGATCGGGAAGAAGAAGGTAGTACGGTCCACGGGTCAGGGCGACCAAGGGACACCCACATGGGTGAAGATTGGTTTAGATTACGAGGTGTGGAGGGACCGAGTTGCCAGGGGCACATGCATGAACTGTGGCAACTATGGCCACACGTCAAGGACATGCCGAGGCAAAAAGGTCACAACGAAGGTAGCCTCACCAACAGTGGTGGGCTTATCTTCGACCCCTGGTTGTGCTTCTACGAGCAGCTCTTAGGGAAACACCTCGGGCCAGTAGGAGTATTAGCCGCTCTTACTCACGCTGAAGTGGTAACGTTGCCTTCTCCACTTCAGGCGTTGGCCAAGGCTAGAGACCCACACATCGCCCCGCAGACACATTCAGACCCACCGACGCTCTGTTCGAGAGATGTGTTTGAGGCCCTAGAAGAGTTAGAGATTGAGTAGTCAGGGAAGGACCTCAGGGACTCTTGGGCGATGATCAGTAAAGGTCCAAAGGGTGAACACCCCGTGGTAGAAGTAGATGTAGGTGGCCGCAAGGTTGGCGCCTTCGCAGACATAGGCTCTACACGAAATTTCATCAGTCGTGCTTGTGGATAGACTGCGCTTAGGGGACCAAGTTGAGCGGCGTAGCAGAACTGTAGCTTCTACGCTAGCCAACAAGCACCAAATGGTTGTCAAAGACTATCTCAAGGACGTAGCCTGTACCTTCTCCTATGGAGGAGGGGAAGTGATCCACAAGATCTCCTTCCTGGTGAGCAACGAACTGCCATTCGATATGTTACTAGGCATGTACTACCTCGAAGTCTCGCAACCTCAGTTTGACTGGGATAGAAAGGTGTTGATCCACAAATTGCCCAATGGTAGAACTGTTAGATTGCAGAAGTATAAAGCTAGCAGTCTAATAGAAAACTACGGGTGTATGTGCGCTTCATCCTTCTATAACTACTATAAGCAGGAGCGAGAGGAGGGCATGTATCTAGTCTTTGTCTTTGAGAAAGGGGAGGTCGTTAAATCACCCCCAGAGATAGAAAGAGTCGTCGCTTAATATTCAGATCTTTTTGAGGAGCCCACAGGCGTGGTGGAAAGGGAGGTTGTACATGCTATAGAGGTTGTCCCAGGTAGCAAGGTGCCTAGAGGACGAATCTATAGGATGTCTTCCGTGGAGTTAGATGAGCTTCGCCGCCAGCTCAAGGAGCTCACAGAGAAGGGATGGATACGGCCTAGTACCTCCCCTTACGGCGCTCCAGTGCTATTCGTACCAAAGAAGGGGGGTACCTTGAGGATGTGCATTGACTATAGGGGTCTCAATGCCATCACTGTGAAGAACGCAGAGCCCCTACCCCGCATCAACGACCGATTGGATAGAGTGCAGGGATGCCGGTACTCTACTAAGATAGCTTTAAAGTCCGGATACCATCAAATTGCCATTAGACCTGAGGACCAGCACAAAACCGCTTTTCAGACCAGGTACGGTCTGTACGAGTTTGTGGTGATGCCCTTTGGCCTATGCAATGCACCTGGGACGTTCCAACACGCAATGAACCGGATCTTTCATGATTACTTGGACACGTTTATCGTCGTGTACCTCGACGATATCCTTATCTTTAGTAAGACTGCAGAGGAGCACGCTGAGCACTTGAATACAGTGCTAGGTCTCCTAAGACAGCACCAGTACAAGATTAACTTGGAGAAATGCGAGTTCGGTCGCACCAAGATCTTGCATCTAGGTCATGAAATTTCAGCAGATGGGTTGAGGCCGGAAGATGCAAAGGTGGCCAGCATACGTGACTGGCCTAGACCTTAGACCGTTACTGAGGTCAGATTGTTTTTGGGGACGACAGGCTATTATCGTCCCTTCGTCAGAAACTATAGTACGATAGCCTCCCCATTAACAGATCTAACTCGACTTGACACCCCTTGGGAGTGGTCTGAAGAGTGTGAGGCGGCCTTTAGGAAATTGAAGTACGCTCTAACACACTATGAGGTTCTTAAACTTCCTGATCCTGATAAGCCGTTTGTGGTGACCACAGACGCCAGCCAATATGGCATAGGCGCGGTCCTTGCGCAAAAGGAGGGGCCCAAGTTGAGACCTATCGAGTACATGAGTGAAAAGATGCCATCTCAGAAACTAGCTAAGTCCACTTATGAGCATGAGCTCTATGCCCTGTACAGAGCGCTGGTACATTGGAGACACTATCTCCTTGGCAGATTCTTCTATGTGAGATCTGACCATGAGACCTTGCGCTGGATCAAGACTCAGCCAGTACTCTCTGGCGCACTCAAGCGATGGATACAAGTGATAGACATGTATGACTATCAACTCAAGCGATCAAGACTCAGCCAGTACTCTCTGACGCACTCAAGCGATGGATACAAGCGATGGATCCAATCAAGGGAGAGTACAACAAAGTGGCTGATGCGTTATCTCACCGGGTGGATTATCTCGGCGCACTAGTGACTGAATTTGGCATATCTAGCGACTTAACTCGATCATTGGTGGATGCCTATCAGCAAGATCCAGTTATGGCTGAGATCATCCGTAAATTCCAAGCAAAGGACAAAAAGACTTTGGACGAATTTACAATGGTGGACGACCTGCTGTTTCTTGAGAAGGCAGGGAATAAAAGGTTGTGTGTTCCGAGTAGTGAGTCGTTGCGTAGTTTATTTTTAGGAGAATGCCATGATGCAACTGGTCATTTTGGCTAGAAAAAGACATTAGCGAACTGAGTACAAAGACTCTGGTGGCCCTCTATGATGCTAGATACAAAACGCTATGTTGAAACTTGCCAAGTTTGCCAAAGGGACAAACCAAGGACTCAGGCTCCACTCGGGCTGATCAAGCCCTTGCCGATTCCTAAAGGACCTGGTCAGAGTGTGTCCATGGACTTCATGGATACTCTTGTGACCAGTAAATCCGGAAAAAGGCATATCTTCGTAATAGTGGACCGCTTTACTAAGTATGCAAGACTAATCGCTATGCCTGAAACAGCTAAGACTGACCACGTCATCAAACTGTTTATGGATAATAGGGTACGTGATTTTGGTTTTCCTACATCTATTGTTAGTGATAGGGATGTGAGATTCACAAGTGAGCTGTGGCAGTCAACCGCTGAACAGATGGGCACCAAACTCCAAATGACCTCAGGGAATCACCCTGAGTCAAATGGCCAGGCAAAACAGATGAACCGAGTAGTACAGCACCTGCTTCGGCATTATATTAAGCCAAGCCAGGATGACTGGGACGAGAAGTTACCGCTCGTCACCAGCCTGTACAACAATGCTGTGCACAGTACTACCGGTAWGACTCCCAACCAGTTACATCTAGGTTGGAAGCCCAGAACTGCACTAGACTTTCTGCTACCACAAAGACAACCCACTGCAGCACCTGGCAGCATAGACTTTGCTGTCAAATATGAACAGATGCTGCAGCAGGCCGTTGAACATATCAGGAAGTCTCAGGATGCTATGATCGCATCTGAGAATAAGCATAGACAGCCCTCTAACTTTCAGGTAGGTGATAGAGTCTGGGTAAAGTCACCTGAACTAGGTCAGGAGATGGGGATATCCAAAAAACTGATGCCACAATATTTTGGGCCTTGGGAGATCTTGGACATAGTAGGGGATCAACCAGATGGGCCTTCATACGTGATCCGTATTCCTGCACACCTACGCACATACCCTGTGTTCCATGCCTCCAAGCTGGCACCTTTCGCTGCCACTGACCAGTTTCCTTCAAGAAGATCAATGCTGCCCCCAACCATGGATGGCGAAGTGGACATTGACCAGATCGTTGAGCATCGAGTGATGCCTGTTCCTCGACCATCAGGCAGAGGGCGACCTCCTAAATCGAGAATGCAGTATCGTGTGAGCTTCAAACATCATCTGGATCCTAAAGAAGACCGGTGGTTCACACGAGAAGAACTCGTGAGAACAGCACCTCAATTGATTGCAGGCTATGAAAGATCACTCAAAGGGAAAATGCCTGCAGAATAAGAGACTTCTCAGAGGACCTACGAAGTAAAGGAGGAGGGAATGTGAGGATCTGGGTCCTCGGCAGGCCTATGGGGCCCTGTATGCAGCATTGCCCGCCCTAAGTGAAGGCGGAGGTGCCCGCCCTAAGTGAAGGTGGGCCTAACAAATCACCTGAGGCCCTCGACTGTCAATTTCATATTTGGGGTGCAGGCAGTTGCGACGCGCCAGTTGGTTGA